TCTTGTCCCTTAAGACCAAGGCATCCAAAAATCACTTTGTAAGAAATCTTGGCTGGCATTCCGTCGGGGCTTAAAAAGTGGTTTCTGCAGCCCTGCAAGCTCCACGCTCACTAGAGCTCCTGCAGACTGCGAGCCTCCTCACCTGAGGCCAGCACGCCCCAGCTGCAGCAACGCGGCGCGGGGCAGAGGCCGGGCAGCCCTCCTGCCCATGCACAGCCCTGCGGCGCGCTGGGTTTGCCTGCAGTCCTGCCACTGCGTGCAGCCAGGCTGCTGCCCCTGGGCTGCATCGCTGCAGCTGCAAGGTGTGCTAGCCCCTCTTTCTCTGCAACGTCCCTTGCCACCCCCACTGCGCACTCGGCGTGTGGGGCAGTGACCAAGTTTTCAGGCTCAGCCTTGAGTCGCGTTTCCCTGGAGCGCGGAGACCCTCCGTCGGACAGGGAAGGCCTTTCCTTGCTGAGGGGATCCAGGCAGCGCGGCACACGGACGCTGCAGCCCACAGGGAGGCTTTCTTTCTCAAGCAGCAAAAGCTGTAGCGTGCAGGTGCGTTTGGAAATGCTACAGTACACAACCCGACACAGGCAGTTCGGAAGCTATCAAAATGCAGTGCTTAAGCACACAAATAGTATTTTCTATTAGTCTCCCTTCAAATTTATGTGCCTTAATACATTGATCTTTATGTTAACGGCATTTCATGAGACGTACGGGGAATGTAGCGTGGCCAGATTACTGTGAGAATCATAACTTTATTCCTGACTGCATTTTGAGTGATTAGAAAAGTAACCTTCATATCACCTTTACATCCACATTTGTATTTTATTACATATATTCCCAAGCAGATTACATTGTTAAGGTAGATTTTTAGAGCCATAACTCAAAAAGAGAAAATACAAAAGCATCACAGAAATCTGTTGCTAGAGAGCATGGAAATTGGATGCTTTCAAATTGTATTTGAGTTCAGATTAAAATTTTAAAATGTGAGCTTTTGTGACCAGCAACCTCTCTACACTCCCGTTTGTTTGCAGCACATATGAACACCACCACCATTTAAACAGACACAGCATTTTCTGGATGAGGGTGAGGGTGAGGTACAGCCACAGCACATCCTAACTCTCTGGAAGGCAAGGACCACAAACACCATGGGGCCCCATCCGCATTTTCATCTTAATACTCGCTCCTGGAGACATCCAGCTAAAACACGTCAGCTTTCAAAACAACAGTCATCTCTTTAGGCTTATACTTAAAATACCACGCAACATCAAGAAATCTGATCATGCCCTGGTAAAAATACCCAAGGCGTCTGTTCACCCCTCAATTTATTCCTCTTTTCTTGCATTGTTATCTCGCACTTCTTCCCTTCTTAGGAGACAGTCTGCACTGCCACGCTGCTTTGATTGCATCGGGGTCAGGGTCGTGATTTTAAGCATAGCTGATGCACCCTCTTGGTTTCCTAAGCTCTTCAGGGTGTCCTGCATCCGTGCTGGTGCTGCCTTGGGAAGGACATTGCTAAAACGTGTAGGTGCAATTCCAACAGTTCTGGGATTGCTCCAAATTGTGGGGCACCCTGGATTTTTGCAGATGGATTTCTGGAAGATTTCTCAGTAAACATAGGGAGTGTGGGAGAGACAGATAAACCCCCAGAATCCCTATTTGGAAAATCTGAATATTCTTCACTGCAATTCCTCTGTCATCAGGCCTCTAGACTATGGATAACTGGCTTGGTTTCCCCAGAGGTAGCTGTGGTATCGAGCAGCTCCAAGGGCTTGCTTGGCCAGCTGGCTCTCGGTTTTGTAATCTGACATGGATTCTTGAAGGAGAGAAAGCCACCATGAACTCCTTTTCCCAGTCTCTAAAGAGAGTTGCCACTGATGAAACCAAGTGGCTGCAAAAGTAGCAAAGAAGTGACTGCTGCTGGTTATAAATTGGTGTTCAATTGCTGGGATTTTGCTCTCTTCAAGAACAGCAAAAAAGTTTCTTTTAAGTTACCTGAATTCCAAAACTTTCTTCAAGAAATCTCCAAGAAGGAGTCTTTACAACCTGCCTTCAAATTCACCAAAGCTGGGGGAAGCAGCAAGGGTTCCTGATGCCCAGAGGCACCTCTAGCCCTGTGGAGAGCCTCAGCTGTGTCCCTGGGTGTGCTGGACCATTTCTGCATGGTGTCTAATCACTGCTCTTTCGAAAGGCTGGGAATCACACCAGTGCCTGTCTACTCTCTTATTCTTACCATGAAGCCCCTTGACTTCCTTCTGGCGCTGGTCCCTGGCCTGGTTTATGCCCCGCTTGGCAGAACGCCTTGAAATCCTGCCATTGCTGCACTCCTAGCGCCTTGGCCCGAGACGCAGCAGAGCACAAACATGGCTAGAGGCCAGCTGGACGCCGGTGCCAGCTCCTCCCCACCAGTCCCTCTAGGACTCACATGAGCACCGCCATACATCAAGCACACAGCATGACTATCTAGAGCTGCTGAAGGTCTATGCAATGCCCGGGGGGTGCTAGACAGCACTCTGCAGCAGAACTACTACAAGGCTATAGGGTACAAGGATGCCACTATAGCTTGTGTCTGGTGACTAACATTAGAGAGAGTGGTGGGAGGAGCAGCAGCAAGACCCGAGCACAAGAGCTTGGGGACAAGCGGTTATAACAAACCTAAATCTTCCCATAACATGATATATTTGACTATGAACATATTTCAGATTCCCACAAAGCCATATCTCCATCTTCCAGTATTTGCCAAAAGCTTCACATAGGCGGTGCTGATACCCAAGGAGGATTAGGACTCCCACACAGGAAAATACCAAACCTGTCCTTCCTCCTACCTTGGGCCAAATGTTTAATCTAAGGAACACCAGTGACGTCTATCCCAGTACCGGAGTTGAGTTTCCAGCAGCAGCCAGTGGCTCGGATGTTCCCTTGCATCAAAAACAGGTCCAGGACAGGCGGGAGCTTTAAGTCTTTGTATTTCACAAGGCATGGGAAAATGAGCACAGGGGAGACCGGCTTCAGGTCTTTCTTGCTCAAAACAAGGATACACCATTACCGTAGCATGGTATATGACGAATGCTATGATTGGGAGCTGTTGCTATGGTGAGAGGAATAATATTTAAGCACCAACTGTTTATAAATATGAAATCCCTATGAAGTTTTCCAAAATTAGATTAAGGGGGCTAGGATTGTCACAATATTATAAGACTTGAGAAATATTGTTATTTTTGGACATGCAAGATCCACTACTCCTAAAACTGCAAATACAAAAAAAAAAAAAACATAAAAATCAAAAGTGATGATTCTGCTGTTGTGCTTGGTGAGATTGAAAGGCAATCTGATAGCCCCGAATTCCCTGTTGCAGCCTGACATGTCTCAAAGAGCGGAGGGAACACCAGCATTTCCAGGCATTTTTCTCTCAACAAATTTGCAGTGAATGGATTTGGACTCTGCTGTTTCTCATAGCCTGCCTGCTACCGAGTTAAGTTGTTCCTGAGCTGCTTATTAACATGCTGGTACTGTGAACCCTCAGTTACACTTTGCGAATTCTAGAGTTTGAGGTGAAGACTTGGAAATCCCTGAGCTGTGGAGGCAGCTTCTTGTAAACCTCGGGACGTTGTCAGGAGCTGGGTATTGCTCATATTAACATAAGAGGAACTGCTGTGATTCCCTATAATGCCCAGACAGCACCAAACACATACAAAATAAAAGGGGGATATAAAGAATGAATACCCATTGTAGTGTCTGCAGAATCATAAACTGCCTCTGAGTGGAGGCTGCCATTTCAGAGGAGGGACAGTCAGACTGCTAAAATCGCAGCTCGGTTTGTGAATGCCTGACAGAAGAGATGCATCCAAAGTTGCCAAAAGTAAATGCTCGACCTGTCTTGGTGGGATCGGGCAGAAGCAGAACAAGGCAGGACATGACACTCGGCCTGGAGACACCAGGCGAGCACTGCCACTCTCCTGCGTCTCATTTCCTGCCTCTCCTTCTAACTTCCCAGGCGGTCATGGTGGCACCTTCTCCTCTGCTTTGCAATCGCTCTTGCGCTGTCAATCCTATTTTGGGGCTCTCCTGGTGGCTGCGAGCCCTGGCTGTGGCAGGGCTGGAGGGATGGCTGCAGCTGGAGAACTCAGCCCAGTGACAGTATTTTTTCCGATGAGCAAGAGGCCCCTTGAAAACAAATACGTGCCACCATCCCTTCCAAAATCCGCCCGGCCAGGAGGGGCTGGACGCCCCCAGCGCGGGGCTGCGCGTGCAGGGACCGGCCAGGCTCCCGGCCGCGGGACACGGCGCCCCGGGGGGACACGCGAGCGGC